CTGCCGAGTGGGAGCTGGGCTTATCGCCAACTTGGGGGGGTGCCATGACCCCAGGTGGTGAGGCTGCCCTTGCACAGGTGACAGGGTCACCACAGCACTCTAGCCAGTCATGTCTCTGCACCCTCTGTGACAGCCAACCCCTCGGCTCTATTTTTGTTCCTTCCTTTCTCTCTCTCTCTCTTTCTTTCCTTTTCAGAGAGAGATTTTTGCTTTAGGGTGCGTGCACTCACCAGAGAGACAGAAAGTGAGAAGTCACCCCCCGGGGGGATGGGCTCTATTTTTGTTCCTTCCTTTCTCTCTCTCTCTCTTTCTTTCCTTTTCAGAGAGAGCTTTTTGCTTTAGGGTGCGTGCACTCACCAGAGAGACAGAAAGTGAGAAGTCACCCCCCGGGGGGATGGCCACACTACAATCCCTTCTCCTCTAGTCTCCTCTCCAGATTTGGGGCACACACGCACACGTGCCCAGTGTGAGTTTTAAGTAACTGGATCCAGGACTCGAACAATGGTCAACTATGTGAGAGTCCAGTGACGTGACCATTACTCCAACTGCTGGTCCCTGGCTCTATTTTTCGTTCCCTGCAGTGATGGGGAAGGATTTCTGGAGCACCTCTCCCCAGAGGGCCGCAGACACGTGCGTCCCCGCGGTGGTGCCCTGCTCGACAGTGAAGGCCGGTGGTGCCTCCAGCCTACCTCCATGTCACCACATGCTCCTGCCTTGGGCCCTTCCACCGAGAGCGCTCCGTCCTCATGGCCTTTGTCACCGAAAGACCCCCTGTATGCCGGCCTGTGGTCACCAATTAGAGGATGTCCCTGAGACACACGGACTTTAGCATCAATGAGAAATGGCTTTTCCTCAGACAAGGAGAACGGTCACGCTCACTCCCAAAGTTCGGGCAGAACGCCACGCAAGCAGCGCGCCAGCAAACCGTCCTCAGAGCCCCCTGCCGCCACCTTCATGGGCTTCCGCTTCACGTCCGGGAAGGGGGGTGCTAAGGTTGGTGCAGCAGCAGCACGAGGCTCTGCAGTGCTGGGAGCCCTCAGGCCCGGCCGGCTCCCTGTCCACTTGTACACGCCGGGTGCCATGTGTGCCCGGGGTCCTGGCTGGCCGGGAAAGGCTGGGGACATGTGCAGGCCCAGCCCGGCTCCCAGTCCACTTGTACACGCCGGGTGCACGTGTGTGCCCGGGGTCCTGACTGACCGGGAAAGGCTGGGGGCCGTGTGCAGGCCTTGCCCAGCTCCCCGTCCACGCCGGGTGCACATGTGTGCCCGGTGTCCTGGCTAGCCGGGAAAGGCTGGGGGAAAGATCTCCACATGGGACACTGTGGAAAATGCTTGTCTTTCTCTTTCTCTTCTGCTCTGTTTTTCTCCCTTCCACGAGAGAAACTTAGCAAAAAGCAAGCAAGCTAGCTAAGGCAAGAGGCAACCCCAGCACAACCCTAAATGCAACCTTTACCTCCTCCTCTCCCCAGATCCAGCTCTCGCATCCCACAAGATCGGAATGGAGAGCCCGTCACGGAGGTCCACACTGCCCAGTAAGGAGGCTGACGTCGCACCTCATCCTGTTAGTCCAAGGGCCCCTTTTTTCCCGGGCACCTGGCCCAGTCTGATTCGATTTCTATCAGTAATTATACAGAGACCCTGAAGTGGAGTCCTCTTTTCTGGTGCTTCAAGGCATGGCAGGGGCTCCTGGCAGGAAGTGGGGCAAGATGGTTAAAAATGACCAGAGCCGAGAAGGGGCTGCAGCGCCCTCCCACAGCACCTGGGCCCACCGCTCTGCTCGTGCACTGGCTCAGGGACGGAGACAGAGGTCTCTGAAGGACCCCAATTCAATAGAGAGGTAAGCTGCTTGGACACGAGAGGACTCAGGAGGTCTCATCACCCAAAAGCCACTGGACACCACCAAATCGCCCCCGCCGCCCTCTGAGAAGCCTTTCAGGAGCAACTCCTGGAATCCAGCTCGTCCTCGTCAGCAGAAACGGCTCCCGGGCAGCCCGCCACCTGCCCCAGGAAGCCCGTGCCACCTCCTCTGGAATCACTGCCCTGGCTCCCACATGCGACATCATCGCTCCCCAGGCACCGGTCCTGGTTCCACACATCTCCACCCAGAAGGTCAGCTCAACCCGCCTCCCCCCTTGTCACTGTGGTTCAGGGCCTGCGACCGCTACCCCAGAATTTTGCCAAAGCATTTGAGTGGGCTTCCTTAACCCTAGGCACCCAGCACCCCACTCTGCACCTCTTTCCAGACTCCCTCTCGTGAAGTGCTTTCATCAACTTTGAATGGCTCCTTAGCTTAGCTTCCTCCCCCCAAAAAAGGCGCTGCACCCATGCCCGCAGCGTGCACTGGTGAACAGGAAAGAGGCTACTGCCCTCCAGCCCCGCCCCGCCCCAGGCACCCCCGCCCCGCCCCGTCCCAGCATTCCAGGTGCCCTGCAGTAGGCTGACCAGGCCCCAGCTGGGAGGACTCCTCCAGGCAGAGAGATGCCATGGGAAGCTGCTCCCGAGGCGCCTGTGAACTCAGAGGGCCATGGCACCGAGGGCCAGGGCATTGACTAGTTCCCCAAGCTTCTCCATGCCTTTAAGAGAAGGCCTCAGGGTCACCCCCAGCCTGGCCTTCAAGTCAGGATGCCAGAAAAGATACAGGACACTCACTTAAACTGGGACTTCACATAAACAAACGATCTCTTCTTTTGTATATCCCCAACACTGTGTGAGATATACTTAAAAATTATTCATCATTTACCTGAAATCCAAAGTTAACTGGGCATCTTATATTTTTAGTTACTAAATCGGGCAACCCAACTTCAAGGCCCCGCTCGACCTGTTCTCAGTCCTTTTCCGACTGTGCTGACTCTCCAACCTCGAGCCATGAGAAGTAGTTCTCTGTGCCAGACTCCATGGGGTGCTCAAGCCGTTTCCCCCATGGCCCCCACATCTCTCCCCCACGCCGTCTCTGGGCCTAAAGTCTCTGCACTCGGCCGCCCACACCCACCTCTCCCTTCTCTCATCTCTGTAAGCAGGTGCTGTCTGCGCCGGTCACCTTCTGGCCCTGCTAGATGGTCACGTTAGCCTAGCACGGCACGACCACAGTAGAAAATTCCTAGATGGCTGCTGAGGGCTCTCAATCCCACCAGCAACACCATGCCTGGCGGTCCCGCCATAACCAGAGCACTGGGCCTGGCCGCGCCCCCTTAACAGTTGGAGGGTGTTAAATGAACACTACCTTCCCAGGGGCCGGATCATGCTGAGCACGTTGCCACACCTGCGAAAGTCACTTGGCAGCAAGAAGCACGGTCAGTGCCCCAGCCGCACCAGGGTTTCCGGCACCCACAGCCTGGCCCTCAGTCTGCCCCATCCCACATTTTCTCTTCCACTACCGCTGGCAGCCCCCACCCCAGCACACTCTGCACACAGACGCGAACCACAGTCGGTCAGCTCACCGTGTGGCCTGATCCCATACGGCCTGTCTCCCCTCCTCTCTGGTTTTAAGTCAGGTGCTCTGGAGCGTAGGTGATACCCAGGCACTTCTGTAACACCTAAGAGCTTCCCCACGAGTTACTTTATTTCTGCACTCCTATCAGGCAGGCAAATGAGTTTTATCTTCTCTGTTCCACAAATGGGCCGAACAGCGGGGTTGAGTGGCCTCTTCAGGCGGTCACGTAAGAGAGGTCGACAACAGCAATTCTGGCCTCTTAACTGGCAGCCGTGGTTTAACACCTCACACTAGTGACCCCAACAGGACTCTTCCTTTTCAAATGGACCACTTGTTCCCGGACACTTGGTCACCACCGCAGTGGCCACACAACAGCCGGGGGCTGGTCACCTGTTCGCTGAGTTTGCCACCGTCCGTTGGGGCTCTGCCAGGTGCCCACCTTCAGGCTGCCCCTCCAGGTCTGTGGCTGCCTGCCCTGGACCACACCCTCCTCCCCTGTGACATGCACTTGGAGAAAGTAAAGGAGGGGGCCTCGGCAGTCTGAACAGGAAGAGCTGTGATTGACTCCCGACTCCCGCCACACGCGCAGGGAAGTGCCTGGTGGGAGCCACCGTGGACAGGGAGTGGGCAGCGGCAGCTGGCTCTACCTGTGGCTGGATCAGCTCTGAGAGGTGCCGGCCGCGAGCTCCCGCTCCAGTGTTCTCCAGGGAGCCCTCCCCAGTGCGCGTGGGTGTGCGCGCGCTCGGCCTGTGCCTGTGTGCCCACTCACACCTGTGAGTTTGGACACTAACTTGGTGGAGAAGAGTGTGGCTCCTTTAGGGTCTCCGTTCCGGGAGAGGTAAGGGCTGCGCAGCTCCGCCCACCTCCCGGCTGCACACTCCTAGAGCCGCAGGACTACCTGCCCAGGCCAGCCGCAAGGTGGGTGCGCGACCCGGGCAGCTGTTCCCTCGGCTGGACAAAGTCGAGCCGCAATCCGATCGATGTCGCCAAAGTCCCGCCCTGGCTGCCCGCGGCGTAGTCGGGGCTGAAGTTCGAAGCAGCCTTACACAGGTTAGGGCGCCCAGGAACCCCAAATACCACGGAGGCCCAAAATATGCTGGGGGTGGGGCAGGCGAAAGAAATCACTGCGGAGAAGCACCCCCCCACACACTCCAGGACCCGGAGCGAAACTGGGTGGGTGGGTG